CACCCAGCAAGATCAAAATATACCTAACCCTTCACAATACCCATCTCTCGAATACCCTTCTCTCCAAATTACCCAACACAAACAAATGGAACCAATTTTAGAGAATGGAGCCAATCTGTCCTCTTAGTGCTTAAGAGTAAAGGAAAGGCCGGATATGTCAACAGCGCAGCTTCCATGCCCGATCCTGATGATCCAAAATTCAGCACATGGGATGCTGAAAACTGCATTGTTATGGCATGGATAATTAACTCCATGGAGCCAGAATTGGTCGCACCTACCTATTCTGTAAGACTGCTCATGAAATTTGGAAGGCTGTCCAAGAGATCTATTTGGACATGGAAAATACCTCAGAATGCTTTGAGGTTAGATCCAAACTTCGCAAAATCGAACAAGGTCCAAAATCAGTCAGAGTATTATCACTCGTTGACTGAGTTGGCAAGAAATGGATTTATTCCATGAAACTAAATGGCACTGCACTGCTAATGGTGTTCAATTCTCCAAGATGGTGGAAAAAAGAACGTGTCTTTGACTTCCTACAAGGCCTCAAAAAAGACTTGGACGAAATCAAGGGAAGGCTACTGGGACAGAAACCATTCCCTATAATTCGGGAAGTTGTTGTTGAAGTTCGAAGGGAAGAAAGCAAAAAAGAGTCATGTTACTCAACTCCTCTACTGAGCCAAATGCATCCATACTCGATTCAGCCAGAGCAACTCACCAATCCGAGCCAAACAAGGGTCCAAAGAACCTGAAAAACAGAAAGGAAGGTGGAGAGCAATTATGGTGTGACCATTGTCGGAGAACAAATCACAACAGGGGAACATGCTGGAAACTCAATGGCAAACCGGCCGAATAGAAGCCAAGGAATCAAAGAGAGTCCACTAGAACTCTTGCAGCAGAAGCATCCTTTTACAACAATCAAAATGGCCATCTCAGCCTAATTCCTGACCAAATTAAGGTATTGCAAACCATTCTTAGCCACCAAAAGATCCGTACTAAATCAGAAACTACGACTTCCTCCTCAAGTGCATCGGTGGCTCATAAAGATACCAGCTTTTCTTCGTTCTTCACTAATGTTGAGACACATCGAGACTGGATTATTGACACAGGTGCGTCAGATCACATGAGTGGCAGTCAAAATACCTTCTCCACCTATGGGGTTGATATTCACATTACAGTGGCAGATGGTCAAACAGTAAAGGCTGAAGGTCGTGAGAATCTAGACATCTCAGAGCTAAACTTAAAATCAGTCCTACATGTTCCACACCTGAAATGCAATCTTGTTTCAATTAGTAAACTCACAGAAGACATAAATTGTGCAGTAACTTTTTATCCGTTCTTTGTGTGTTTTTCAGGTTTTATCTTCAAGGAAGATGATTGACAGTGGTGAGGAGTGTGATGGCCTCTATTTTCTCCATGACATGAGTTCCTCCTCACAATCTCCACCTCTTGAAAAAGTCTCATTATCAACTGTGTCTAACTCTGAACTTACTTTGTCGCATAAACGCCTCACTCATCCTAGTTTTCCTTACCTTAAAGCATTGTATCCCCACATATTCATCAATAAAGATGTTTCTAGTTATCATCGTGAATATTGCATTGTCGCTAAACAAACAAGAAAAAGCTATCTCCCTCATTCTTATCAACCAACAAAATCATTACATCTCATTCATAGTGACATATGTGGTCCAGCTCGAGAACACTTCCTTATGGGTCCAAGATGGTTATCACTTCCATTGATGATCATACTCGGGTTTGTTAAGTATACCTAATGAAAGTCAAATCAGAAGCAACAAGCATTTTCAAAAAAATTCATAAATATGTTTCCACTGTTTTCCAATCCCAAATCCAAATCCTTCGAAGTGACAATGGAAAAGAACATTTCACCCATGACTTGCCCCAGTACTCATGGAAAAGAGCATTTCACCCACCAACAAAATGTGGTTGCTGAATGCAAATACAAACACCTTTTAGAGGTAGCTCGATCCTTAACGTTTGCTACCAATGTTCCAAACAAATTTTGGGCCGAAGCTGTTCTCACAGCCGCCTATCTCATCAACAGATTGCCCTCAAAACCTCTAAAGTTTCGTACTTCTATCAGCTACCTTCTAGAAAGTTATCCCGCAACTCATCTCCTTCATTCTCTACCCCTCAAAGTTTTTGGTTGTGTGGCATTCATTCACAATCACAACCCTCATAGAGGTAAATTTGATCCTAAGGTAGTCAAATGCATCTTTGTATGGTACTCCTCCACATAAAAAGGTTACAAGTGTTACCATCCAACCTCTAGAAAGTTCTTAACATCATATGATGTCTCCTTTCTTGAAGATCAATCTTACTATCCCAATGGTTCTTTTCAGGAGGAGCATATACATGAAGAAACCCATTTTGATCCAACAATATCTCTTCCAATATCATTTTCCCATTTTGCCAGTCACAAGAACCACCTTCACCTCA